GATTGCTGAGCTGATTGCAATGGATGCTGCTTGATTGACTGACAATCAATAGTAGAGAAGCTCTTAATAGACATGATTGAGTGCATTGATTGACTGATTCATTTACTGGTCATTAATAGTCGAAAGATGTGCAGATCGGATTGGATTGACTGAGACTTGATTTATGACTAACTGACATGGAGGTCTATTGATTGAAATGAAATTTAGAGTTTTTATTACAGCCAACTTTGAAGTAAATTTAATAAAAGATGAATTTACATTTTTGAGTGGAATGCCAGATCAGTTATGGATTGCAACTAAAGAAAGTTCCTTATAGTATAGATCGAATACGGGTTTTGTGGATTTGGAAAAAGCAACAACGAGTTGAGCGTCTCTGATTGCCGCACAGATCACTGGGGATCATTGGGATCACTGGGATCGCCAAGATGATCGTCGAGTCTGGCTGTTGCCCGCTGTTGCAGCTTGTTGCGGCAATTAGCCAGTGACAGCGAGTGCCAACGTTTTTTGACCCATTGCCGCATTTGCATTCGCAATCAGGCAGCAGCAACAAGTTTCGTGCTGACCAAAGCTGAGCTGCAATCGAGTTCAATTTCAATTCAATATTGAATGCCAAATAGCCATAAAAAACACACACACACACACAGCAAAAACAAAATTTGTACTCGCTTTTTTTGTGAGCTTTGCATTTCAATCAGTCAGGCGATCAATCAGTGCAGGCTCAATTTGACTCTAATCAATTTCTATTCAATGTTGAATGTTCGTTGACTATCAATTGCCTGAGTATGGCCAAATTTTCTGACACCTTGCTAAGGCTTTGCTATGAATTTCAATCGGATCGTCGAACTAGTTGTTTGAGCCTAATTGATTGACAGTTGAAGTTTCAATAAAATATATCGAGCTTCTAGCCAGCTTCACTTTCAATTACAATGCCATTTTAAGTGCTATTCAATTCAATTTTGAACTTTCATCTAAGATAAAATTAAAATTTCTGATTCTACTTCGCTGCACTTTTTATTATTATTTAATATTTAAATTTTGTTCTATTCCTATTCTATTCCATTTCAATTTTACAATATTTTCTATATTAAATTCCAAGCAATTTTAATTTTTTCTCACACCACTTTTTTATTTTTATTTTTAATTTTTTAAGTCATGAATAAAAAGAGAATAAACTTAAACGAAAAGCACTTAAGTTTTATGATACACTGAACACGATTTGCATTTAATTTCAATCAGACAATCCATCTGTCAGTCAGTCAGTCAATCAATTCATGCATTGAATGATAGTCATTTATATGGGAGTTCTTCAAACTGAATTGCAAATAGGAAATTAACTCGAGAATCTTATGAAAAGTGTTTGCAATGAATGATTCAATCAGACAGTCAATCAGAAAGGATTTTGTAAAAGAAAATATGTGTAGAAATTGAAGCTAAGGAAAGAAAAACTAGTACTAATATTTATAATATATAATCTATTTCACTTTGAATGAATGCCTAAAAGGAAGAAAGAGAGAGAGAGAGAGAGTCCGGGCAAAAAGAGAAGAGATACTCATTCAAACAATGAACCGAGTAAAAGTAAGAGGGAGAGCGAGAGTGAGAAGGCTATATTCCTTTTAGGGAAAGATTCAAAACGTAAACATTTCATTGTTTCAATTTCAATTACAAATTCCATTTCAATTGCGATTCCAACTGGAAGTCATTCAACAATCGTGTCGCGAGTGGGCGTCGAAGATATTTAACATTTTAGCACAAGATTCGCATTCAGGGGAAAACTAAATAACGATCAATCAAACAGCCAGTCAGTCATTCAGTCAGTCAGGCGGGCTTTCAACCACATTGTATGTCAGTTGCAATCGCAGACAGAAAAACGACGTTTAAGATTAATAAAAATAAAGAGCATTACTTAGGCATTTGTTGTGAATAGAATGCTGAAGTGCTTAGCATATCTAGCCGCAATACAAATATCAAATTGCATTTTCAATTCATTTCCATTTCCAATTTCCATTTCAATTTCAATTTCAATTGCCGATTGCCAGAGCTCAGATAATTGATGATTATGAGTGTCGGCTAAATGTCGTGAGCGTGTTATTGCAATGCACATAGCTATATATACAAATAGACAAGTATATATATATATGTATATATGCTTGTGTCTCGTAAATCAAGAGATATCATCTATAGCTGAGAGAGGCCGAGTTAGTGCTGGAGCCAGAGACGCTGTCCAAATGTGGGCGCTAAGGTTTGGCCAATTGCAATGCAAATGACAAATCGCTGTTGAGGTGCCCGATGAGAGGGCAAGGGGTGCGGGCAGCGGGCTGCGGGATGTATTACATTTGACTTATAATAGCTCCATATTTGGCCATTAAAGATGCCATCTCCAATCTTCACGACAAACGCCGCCAACGCGAAGCGCCACTTGGTGCCAAGTTTGGATTTCGAATGCATTCGGGTGCTCGGCTAGCGATTGCGATTGTGATTGCCAGATACGCGATCGCGTTTTGGCCCTTGCGTGCGCTAACAGTAGCTGTTGGCCTAGAACTGTGAGCCACACCCACCGCAGAGCACCTTAACATCACTCGGTGTGCCTCTCCCGTCCCCCCCTTCATCGCTGTCTCTCTCTTTCTCTCTCTCTCTCTCTATCGCTCTCCCTGTCGGGCGCGTTTGGTCTGCGGCAAATGGCGACGTATTCATTTGTTTGCTGTTTGCCAATCAGCCTGTCAATAATTGTCAACAAGGTGTGACTATGCCAATATTTAATTATTCGATTTCATTTGCTTTTCAATCGCGACAACTGCGAGGCAAAAGCACATGCGAGCCAGAGAATGGGGGGAGGGAGATGGTGATGGGGGTCCCTAACTAAGTAACTGAGAGCGTAGTCTGAATACCCTGTGATTGGTGGAGAGATGGGCATATCTGGGGGGGAGAGTGAGGCGAGAAAAAGTGGGGGATTTAGTGAAAGAGATTTAGAAAGAGGAAATAAGGAGAGTGTGTATGAAAGAAATGATAAGTGTGAGGAACGGGGCAGATACAGCGAGAGAGAGAGAGAGATAGAGAAAGAGAGAGAGAGAGAGAGAGAGAGATAGAGAAAGAGAGAGAGAGAGAGAGAGATAGAGAAAGAGTTGGAAAGCAAAAATGAAATTGCAGAGAAAAAGATATATAAAGAGAGAAACAGAGAGTTGTAGAGGCATAAAGTAAAAAGAGGTAGAAATTGGAAAAGAGATATAGGCAAACAATGAGGAGAATGGTAAAGAGGGAAAGAGAGAGAGAGAGAGAAAACAAAACAGAGACAGTGAGCAAGATACAGAAAGATTTAAAGAGCGAGAGAAAGAAATATTGGAAGAGCTATATAATTTGAGTGAAGATTTGTAAATATAGTCATTTATAACCGACTAATATATTTATAGATGTGATATATATGTACTTCACATTTTACAGGGTATCTGGCACGCAATCTCTGTATATAGCACTTGCTGTAGCTCTGCCGCTCGCACTGGTATTTGTCTTTGTTTTTGTTGCTTCAAATTTGCTAAACATTTGCGGGAAAAATATTTGTCTTCAAGCATCCGACGTCTGGATATATACATATGTGCACATACATCGGTGCAAAGAGTACTCAAACCACTCACGAGTCCGCGAAGCACTCATAGTGCCCGATAGTCAACTATATATAAGATGTTGCTAAATAGTATTTGACTCTCGGCGAGAAAGCCTTTCGAAAACACATTTTAATAGTGTTTGAGTAGGCAACACGAGTATCATTTAAACCCGTTCGATTCCGAAAAATTTATTTGCAACCTAGACCTTAGATCTATAACAAATGAGTATAAAAATTCATTATCCGGATCCAAAGTATACTTTGCTTAATCTTCTAATTTTTACTTGAAGAAATAAAGTTGTATATTAATCTGAAGCTGCATCGATTCGAATGCGGAACTCAAAATTGTCTTGTGTAACAAGTCTATAGATACGATCTCTCTATATATATGATGTCAAATTTAGGCTCAGGAACCGAACCTTTAGCGAAAGAGCAAAAAGGTTCACAGACTTGTTCCATGCCTTAAGCCGCATTGCCCTCAAAAAACTTACAGCTGGGCTTATAGAACGACTTTTGCGCCACATGATCTATGGAGCTACTTTACGTGATGCCAAACCTGCTTCGCAGAGCCAAGCTTCAAAAGTATCTTAATAATGATCTTGCCTTATTAGAACCATTTAATGACCGTACAGTAAAAGACTTGCTACCGAAATACTTAGCTTTGTTTCGTTTAAGAACTCACATACGATACGATCATTTCAGAAGTGTTTCATTTGAGCTCTTGCCAAAAAAGAGTTCAGTTTCAATCAACTTTTATTGACAACTGCCAACATTGGGCTCTTAATAGATCCGGCGGATCCAACTATATAAATGTTATATCGGGCATAATTTGGTAAAAGGCAAAAGTCAATTTAAAAGAAATGTTGCTCTATTTGGAGTGAATGCTATCATGAGTATCCGATGATGCTTCCAATGAATCATTTCGTGCATACGATGATTCAATGACAGTATACGATGAGAAGTTTTAAGTTCATGAATGGATTAAATGTAATGATTATACTATGAACTCTATCGAGCATCGTATGAAGGATTGATAAGCATCTGAAAATATTTGTTGAGTATGCGAGGGATTCATTACGGGTATTACGAGTACCAAATTAATCATTATATGTCTGAGTAGTAGCATATGAATAGGAATGTATTCGAACTCATTCAGCGAACCCAATGAACCTTGCTTCTTAAGTGATTCAAGTTCCACATAGAATCTAAGAGGGCATGAAATGCTTCGTAGACTTTGGGGTATTTCCTGTAAAAGTTTTTGATTCAATAAAAACGCAATCGAAATGTTTTGTTATTAAA